CTGGTTCACTCCCCAATTGGCTGCAACGGCCAGAGCTGCAATGATCCAAAGCCTGGAGCCAGGAGCTTCTTCCAGGTCTCCCACTCGGATTGGGGCCCAAGGACTTGGGCCATCTTCTACTGCTTTCCTAGGCCATAGCAGAGAGCTGGATCAGAAGTGGAGCAGCCAGGACTTGAACCGCTGCCCATATGGGATGCTGGCACTGCAGGCACAGACCAGCCCTGTTTAATAGAGATTTTTAACATTAGCTCTCATGCCAGAATGTTTCCTCTTCCCTTGATTCCATTCATTACCTTGGGTAACTTCCACCCACCTGCCCTGCCTGGGAGTCAGTTACTTCTGATGTTAGACAGTATGGAATTCCATAATGTACATATACACATTCCACTTACCTACATAAGCCCATTTTAATACACTGAATGCCAGTTAGTCGCCCCACTACCTACTTGCCAGGTGGTTGCTGCAGTCCTAATATCATGGATGAGGGAATGGAAGCTCAGAGAGGCTGTGCCACTTGCCTGAGGTCACACAGCACTTGAGTGCATTTGTGCTTGGCAGCCTCTCACCACAGTGCGCTTCCCACTTGGTATCCTGCCTTGGACACGTTGTCCCAGTGGAATTCTGCTGGGAAGCATCTGGGTGAGAACTGTGGTGCTTCTTGGTTATCACACTCTGGTCTCAGGCCTGGTTCTGCAGGAAGAGGACACAGTCGGGTGACCTGAGACCTCTCTGTACGTGGCCTTGCCACCTACCAGCCTGGTGACCTGGAGCAAGCCGCTTTGCCACGCGGCACCTCTGGTTCCTTTTCAGAACCCTGAAGACAATTTTCTAAACCACCCCCACGGCCACGGCCGCTCTGAGAATTCCTGAGCCCTCTGCTGATTCTGCACCTAAGGGCTAGGCAGTGCCTGCAGGTGGGGCTTGGGTCACGTCCCCTGGTTTCTCAGGTCTGCCTTGCGCTGCATGAGGTCCCAGTGCTGGGTGCTGGCGGGGACTCGGGGTTGAGTGGGGGCAGATGGGCGGCCTTCCTAACAACAGGACCACGCTGCCTGAGTTGTGGGCCCCAGCGGCGGGAGCAGAGGAGGAGTTATGAACACAGATCCCAGCTGTCCGTGTAGAACTCCCAGCAAACACTTCAGCCTGTCTTCTTTCCTCCCAAGTGGCACTGTTGGGGCACATCAGACGGTCATAAACAGAGCCTCTCCTGTGCTGTGTTCCAGCCTCGGAAATTGATGATGTCTTCCAGAACAGTCATAATTTTTGCATCAGATGTTTGTATTTTTGAAGAAAGGAGAGGATATTCTTTGTTTCCCTGAGACCGTAGAAGGACTTGAGCATGTTGGATGCACAAAAGCCATTATTTTGTAATGTCAGCTGGGAGGGAGCCTTCTTTGGTCAGCTCACTTGGGTACGGGTGTCCCCCGGAAGGGTGGGTGAGAAGCTGTAACACGCAGTGAAGGGCGGACGGGGCCAGCGTCGGACCACAGCGGGCTGATCTGCCGTTTGCAATGCCAGCCTCCCATATCACAGCAGCAGTTCGAATCCTGGCGGCTCTGCTTCAGATCTAGCTCCCTGCTCATGTGCCTGGAAGGCAGCAGCAGCCTTGCCAGCCAGTGGAGTTCTGGATTCTTGGCTTCTGCCTGGCCCAGCCCTGGCCATTGCAGCCATTTGGGAAATGAGCCAAGAGATGGCAGATCTCTCTTTCTGTCTCTCTCCCTCTCTCTGTCATTCTGCCTTTCAAGTAAATTAAATAAACCTTAGAAGAAAAGAAGAATGGAGAGCAATCGAGGTGCAGCCAAGAAAATGAGACCACAGCTGATGGTCTCATGACGTGAAGACAAAGGCTGAAGACCCAGAGTTGCCGGTGAGCAGGCTTCCCGGCTTCCCTACTGTGCTCCTCCTGCCGAACACGTGAGCCCCTTCTCATCAAGACCCCTTCACCGGGCCAGTGCCCACTGTGGCTGTCTGGGGAGCCACACAGAGCCCAGACCTTCAGGATAGATAAAGGGTCCAAAGTGTGGATGCCAAAGCTGAACAGGCAGGTTCAAATGCCAGCTGTACTGCGTACTGGCCGTGCGACCTTAGACAAGCTGTGTGGCCTCTCATTCCCTCATCTTTGAAACAGTCTGGCAAGGGTTAACTGAGCTGCACTCCCAGGTCTGTTCTGCCCAGAGTTGGAAAGTTTCTGAAGCCCCATCCGCTCTGAGACCCTCGGAGTGTGTGGGATGGCAGAGGGCGGGGGGCTGGGTGGCCTTGGAGCGACCTCCCTGGAGCTGCTGTAGGCCTTTGGCCTGTTGAGAAATGAGAAGCTGCCCTCTGGTCCCTTTCAGGCCCTGGTCCCGTGCCCGGGGTTGGAAGGAAGCTCATTCACATCTCCCCTTCACAAGACAGGCAGCCATTTGTAGCATCCTGACATCCCCCCCGAGCAGTTGGCTCATGTAAGTTTAATAATAAGGCTCATCGTGACAAACAGCAGTGAAGCTGAATGGCACTGGCCCTGTCGGGCGTCCTTTTGAGGCCAAGTTCAACCTCCCATGTGCTGCGGGGAAGCCTGCCAGCTCCAGCCCTTCTCGCCAAGACAGCCTCTCCTTCTGTGAGCCGCTCTGTTGTGGGAAACCAAATCATTGTTGCCGTCGCTGGCCTGGAGCAGCAAGGCGGTCGGGCAGCTCTGTGCTCGGCTGCAAGCCCTCACTGGCCCACGAGCACCAGAGACGCCTGCCCCGTCCCCAGTGGAGACGGGCTCAAGAGTCTCATCATTCATTCCTGGCCTTTGAACTTTGTCTTCAGCCCCAAGCTGCCTTCCCAGCCAGTGAGAGTCGAGAACCAGAGTGGCTCAAGGAGCCTCTGGACCAGCACTGAGCAAGAGAAGAAAAATCTGCATTCCCAACCAGTCTGTAGCACCCACAGCTTTAAAAAAAAAAAAAAAAAAAACTGAGAATAGACAAAATCGGCTCCAGGAATGGCTCTTATTTAACCCGCTGTACCTAAAACAAAAGTCATCCGTGAACTGTGTTGCGATTTCGTTCTAAGTCTGCAAAGTCTGACGTATATTTCACAGCTGGAGCGCGTGTCAGCGAGGACGGCCACATTTCAAATGCCCAGTGCCCGCACGTGGCTGTGGGCTACACATTGGGCGGTGTAGGGCAGGGGTGATAGAGCAACATCTGAAGTGGTGTGCACCTGTCCGTGTATCTCCAGCACAGCGGTCCTTTTGCCCAGAGGTTTTGGTTGATGGGAGATAATTATTAGCAGCCGCTGGTCATCGAGGGCGTGCATGCTTTCTGCTGAAGGTGAATCTAACGGAACCTAGAAGCTGCGCCGTCTGCCCCGTACCAGACATTTGGAAATCCCCGTTTCATTTGGCGTCACACCGCGGGGACCGATTGTGAACTTCCCCGGGAAACGTCATCCGGTGAGATTCGGAGTGCCATCCTGTCGTTCTGGTTGGAGGAGGCACTGTGGTGTCAGCGCGGCTTCGTCACCTCGGTCCAGTGGCTGAGCGGATCCTCTTGGCTTTTAAAAGAAGACGCCGTCCTGGCAGCCCTGGCTTGTAGGTTTGTGAATCGTTTGACCGGAAGCAGGGTGCCCACTCCCTTGCCTCTGACAGCTTTTCAGACCTGGGCAACGTGCTCTCCACCACGTGCAGGAGAGGGATGGTAAAGCCGCCTGGATGTTTGTGGGTAGAGACAGAAAATAAAGCCACGACCGAGCCTCCGCCTGATAATTCACCCAGAAACACCGAAGTTTCGGCTCTGCCTGTGTTCAGAACCAGTCGACCGGGGCCGGCGCTGTGGAGCAGCAGGTTAAGCTGCCTCTTGCAATGCCAGCATCTCATACAAGAGCACCAACTGCTCCTCTTCTGATCCCGCTCTCTGCTGTGGCCTGGGAAAGCAGCAGAAGATGCCCACGCCCTGGGCCCCTGCAGCCACGTGGGAGACCTGGAAGAAGCTCCTGGCTCCTGGCTTCGGATCAGCCCAGCTCCTGTTGTTGCAGCCACTTGGAGAGTGAACGAGTGGATGGAAGGCCTTTCTCTCTGTTTCTCCCTCTGTAACTCTACCTCTCAAATAAATAAAGTCTTTTAAAAAATTGAAACACTATACTTTGCAAATAGGTTGCAAGGACTGGCTTTATTTGAATACTTTTGAAATATAGTTACATGCAGCAAAATCCTTGCACACTCATCTTTCCCTGAAGAGCACATTTCAAAGTCTTGTGTAGAAATGAGGATGCTTCTCCGTGAGTGCGTCGTCTCTCGTGTTTCCCCCACGCACGCCCTCCTGTCTAGCTGAGGACGGTCTGACTAACCACGGTAGCTTTACGCTGCCTGAACGGTGTAAGTCACCCCCTTTGCCGACTGCATCATCCTCTTGTAGGTCCTCTCAGTTTCTTTTTTCAGTTGATTGACTGGGATCAAGAGTCAGGCAAAGTCCCAATGTCGCATCCGGGCCTTCTATCCTGCATCTTTTCAGAACACGCTAGGACCTCATTCAGCAGACTGAGCGCGCCTCCCTGAGCCTTTATGTGCAGCGAAAGGAAACCGGAGTTCTTACCCCGCCGAGCTTCCTGCTCTCATCCATCTCCATCGGCCTTCTTACGGCTTTTCATAACACTCCGCTTGGATGTTGGAGTCTGAGCGTCCTGTGCGTCAAACCCTAGTGCTGACCGACCCCTGGCACTTCCCGAAAAGTGAATGTCCCTCAGTGCAGAGACATTTTTCCCCAGTGAGAACAACTAAACCTACCTTCAGACCCATGCCGTGGCACCCCCGCGTGGATCCGGAAGCAGAGTCCCAGGACGGGTTGTTGGCAGTGAACCACAGGGTGGATGGCTCCCCGTGTGTCTGTCTCCCAGGGCCCCTTGCCTAGGCGTAGAAATCGAAGACAGAGCTTATGATGGCCTTGTCTGCATGAGCAGTGTATCAGTGCTCGCGGGACTCACCTGTCCCAACAGGAGCTGTGTGATTTACCTGTAATGTAACCGACGTGTTTGTTTCCGTGCAGATCATCGCTTATCAGCCGTACGGCAAATCCGTGGACTGGTGGGCCTACGGCGTCCTGCTGTATGAGATGCTGGCTGGGCAGGTAACGTTCACTGTGCTATTCTGGTTTTGTTGTTTGTTTTTTTTTTTTTTTAAAGATTTATTTATTTTATTTGAAAGGCAGAGAGAGAGGGGGAGGGGAGTCTTCTATCCACTGGTTCACTCCCTTGAGGGCCGCAACATCTAGAGCCACACTGATCCAGAGCCAGGAGCTTCTTCTGGGTCTCCCACATGGGTACAGGAGCCCAAGGACTTGGGCCACCTTCTGCTGCTTTCCCAGGTCACAGCAGAGAGCTGAATGGGAAGTGGAGCAGCTGGGACTCGAACCAGTGCCCATATGGGATGCCAGCACTGCAGGCTGCGGCTTTACCAGCTACGCCACAGTGCCAGCCCCTCACTGTGCTTTTGTGTGTGTGTATTGCTGGGTCACGTGAGTTCTTCTGCTCTTCTGGGGCAGTGATCGCCAGACCCGGCAGTGTAGCATGGCTGGTGGAGGAGGCAGAAATCCCCCTGGGAGTGGGTTATGTCCGGTAGGCACAGAAATGATCTCCCAGGTTGAAAGCCACATCTGGCGCGTCGACACTGCACACGTGCCCCCTGGGTTGCTGACGGCCATGGCCGCTGTCAGTTTCCTGTGGCTCCCAGCCGGGGCTGGGTGGTGGCTCCCTGCGGTCTGCCTGTACATCTGCCCCAGCTCCTGCCTGGGCACAGCACTGATATTATTATTATTACTTAAGGACGAGCACTGGTAAACTGAAGAGGTGTTTTAATAGCTTCTCCCGTCTCCTCTTATCTCACCCTGCCGACTCGCTGTAATTTTCACAGCTGAACTTCCTGCTAAGAACAGGAAAATTAGGTTTCTAAGGATGTGACTTCTAAGATAAGCACGTGTGTTATTGCCTAACACCTTGTGACACAGTGGCATTTGTAACGGTGCACACTGACAGCCCCCAGACCCCAGCGGCTTATTAACACGAAGCACAGATCTATTTCACATTGCCCGCGTAGTCCTGCGTGGCGGAGGGCGGGAGGCCCGCCCACCTGGTGGTCCGAGGAGCCAGGTTCTCCCACCATCTTTCTCCCCGCTGACTCCCCTCCTTTCAGCATCCCAGGAGACAGGAGAGTCGCACCGAATGCTTTAGGGGCCAGGCCTTCAGGCGGCTTCGTCACTCCTGCCTGCCTTCCCCCAGGCACCCTAGCCCCACAAGACCCAGGAGGGCTGAGCCCATCTCGGCGCTCAGCCAGAGGGGGCGGGTTTGGCAAGCACCTGGCTGACCTCTGCCTTTAGACCCAAGAATGAGCCATCCTGGGAAGCGTTTTATAATTCCCTGCACATGAACACAAGTGCCGGGGGGTTTAACTCTCCTTAGCCAAGAACATGAGCGAACGATGATGGAAAGAGGCACCCAGGCAAGCTGCAGAGCTGTGCCCAACACAGTCTGTCTCTGGGGAGAAGCCACCCTCTCCACGTGTCCCAGCTGCTGATCGTTCATCCAACACGTATCGGTGGGCACTCACTGTGTGCACAGAAAGGAAACAAACACCTTTATGCCCATGAAGCTTGCAGGAGGAGAGTGATGAGAGACTAGTCAGATAATGGAAATATTTGATAGTGATGTGCTAAAGAAGAAAAGAAAGGAATTATGCAGACAAAGAAGAGAGTGCTGGGGTGGCATGGAAGTGTTAGCTAGCGTGGTCAGAAAGACAACGTAGAATAGAAAGTTAAGACCAGGAAGGAAGGAGGAGATGTCTGTGTGCATAGCTGGAGGAAGAGCATCCAGGCAGTGGGGACAGCAAGTGCAAAGGCCCTGAGGTTGCAGGTTGTGGCTGTGACAGAGAGGAAGCCGGCAGTGTGGCTGGAGCAGAGTAAGCTGCAGCAGGGGGAGGAGGTGCCATGGCCATGTGAGCGTGGAGGTCATCACATGGCTCTGGCTTTCGCTCCGGCATGGGAAGCCGTCCACGACCTCACCCACGTGTCTCTCGCACTGTGTCCTAGCGCTCTTAGATACTGACCCTGTCTGATGTTGCAAGCTCTGAAGTTCTAGCCCGCATTTGATCACCGGTTCTCAGTGCCGTAAGACTCATTTGTTCAGCTGTGATTTATCTTGATTCTGTCTCTTGCTCTAGGCATTCTCAGTAGGCCCAGTGTCTCATTGTGGAAACACAGAAAGTCAGGTCACAGATAGCCACTGGGAATCTCAGATTCCCGCGTCCGCATTAATTTTGCCTCTCTGAAGTTTTAATAATAAACTTTGACTCAGAATGACCAGCCCCTAGGGAGCCAGGTTGCTCCTGAAGGCACCCAAAGGCACGTTCCCTTCCTCTATCCACTGAACGCTCAGCTTTGAGTCCAGAAAGCAAGCCCTGTGTTCACGACCAGGCTCTTCTCCTGCACCACCAAGTGTCGCAGGTCAGACGGAGCCGCGGTCGGCGTGACGTGCGGGGACAGGAGCGGACTCTCTCCTGGCAGCAGGAGGCTGGAGTCACAGTGCAGACCTGCAGCTGAGACCCCTCCCTCCCGGGCTGGCTTCCCTCCTCTCCCTGCCCCGCCAGGACCCTGTCCCCAAGGGCGAGCTCGGGAAAGCTCCACTGTACCAGGGGAGTCCCCAGGGCGCGTTCTGAAGTCCTGCCTCCCCAGGCCTCGATTTCCAAGCCTTAGTTGAAGTCTGCCTCCCTCACTCGAGCCCCCACGGAGCACTGGGCTCCTGCTCCACGCCACAAACACCTGAGCTCTTCCATCATTTCCCGTCCTGCTTCTCAGAGCCGGGCAGCTGCCCTGTGTGCCTCCCTGCAGGCCGAGGTGATCTCTATTAAAAACGGTCAGTCTCCACAACCGCCACCCGCAGCGCGTGCCGCCTTCCCGTGCCCTGCCCGACCCTGACCGTGGCCTCTGTGGCTCTGAATCTTCACCTGGCCATGCGGAGCCCCTTCCTCGTCTTCCTCTCTGACTGCTCAGTGCAGATGGAGATGGATTCCTGGGCTGTGAGTTGACCCAGGGAGGAAGAGGAAGGCTCTGAGGGTGCCACACTGTGCCCCGCGAAGCCGCGGGGGCCTCAGAGGCTGAGCACAGGGAGTAGAGGCCATCGCTGAAACGGAGCATGGATTAGGAAGCCGGCCATGGGGTCAGGGTCTACGGTTGTCCCCTGCCATCACAGAAGGGGAAGGTGAACAGGAAAAGTAATCGTTGCCCGCAGTGTCGATCGCTGCCAGGGGGCGGCGAGGTGTAGAGCCCGGGTCTTTATTCAGTTCCTGGGCTGCTCGACACAGGAGATGACTTTGGGGGTGTAATTAGTACGTCCCCAGCACTCTGATGTGCATGGAGTGGCTCCAAGTCGCCGTGAAGGGCCCGGCGCCCTCCTCTTTAAGTCCTTGCCGCCAGGGTTATTTGTGCTTGGTCTTCGCTCCTGACGAACCAGTGAGGGCTCCTTCCTCTCGGTAACTGGGGCTTCCGCCTGAGTGGCCCGCAGCTGCTCCCCCATCCCCGTCCCAGTAGGGCCTGCTTACTTGTGACTTAGGAATTGTCTGCACAGGGCTGAAGCAGCACCCCTCTTTTGTCTGTTTCACATGCACATATCGCAGAGTGCGATGGTGGCTACAGGCTACAACCCGTGCAGAAAATGTTTGCACCAACCCAAGACTTGCTAATAGGTGGCTTAGCGTGGAGCATTGAGCTCAGATTTGCAAAATTTAAAAAGTAGCCATGAGAACATGGGAGAGAAGCCACGCCAGAATGCCATGTCCTGATTGTCTTAGCAACACATTACCTGCCACAGGCCCCAGGCTAAGTAGCTGGCATTACTGGGAAGGAAAACAAGGATGGTTATAACCTGTCACCACTGGCTTGCTGCAGCAGCAAGGCCTGAGAGCCAGCAGCCACCTGTCGTGAGCCATAAACATGCTCCCACCTTGGACTGTACCATCCCACACCTTGGCCACTGTGCTTAGAAAGTCACTCAGAAGAGGAAAAAATGATACGGACAACATGATGTCTGCAGTGGCATTGGTTATTGGAACCCTGTGCTGCAGCCAGTGGTGACCGTGGAGGGATGAACCAGCCTGGGACCATGTATCTCTTCAGTGGCTGCAGAGAAAAAAATGGATCAGTGAAAGACCAGGAACTGTCACTCACGCATCACAATCTGAAAAGAGTGTAAGAAAGCCTGGGGATCATGTACAGATGAGAGCAGCATTCGTGGTTAGGTAGAGGGGGCATGAGTGCCACTTTTGTGGGCCCCTTCCCCCCAGGATTACATCATTTAAGACAGAACTCCAGGGGACCGTTCTGGACACGGTGGGCTTCCTCCCTCTCTTGGCACAGGGCAGGGTTGTACTTCCTGGCACATGACCAGTTCTTTTTTATTATTATTTTATTTATTTGAAAGACAGAGTTATATACAGAGGTAGAGACAGAGAGAGCTCTTGCATCCGCTGGTTTGCTCCCTAAATGGCCACAATGACTGGGGCTGGGCCAGGTCAAAGCCAGGAGCCAGGAGCTTCTTCCAGGTTTCCCATGTGGGTGCAGGGGCCCAAGCATTCTCCACTGCTTTCCCAGGCCATACCAGAGAGCTGGATTGGAAGTGGAGCAGCTGGGACTCAAACTGGCGTCCATATGGGATGCCGGTGCTGCAGACCAGGGCTTTAACCTGCTACGCCACAGCGCCAGCCCCCATGACCAGTTCTGAGCAATGAGAGCAAAGTGGAGGTGCCAGAGTGTTTAAGGGTCAGAGGAAGACAGCCCAGAGCTCCGTGCCAGCCTTTGCCGGCAAGACCAGGGTGGCGGCTGCTCTGCTGGGGGACGTGTGTGACTCCCTGTGGCTGTGCAGAGCAGACCCCTCTGCTGGTCCCCGGTAGACGTGTTGCAAGAAGCAAGAAGCAGGCTGTGTTGTAAGTCTGGAGGTGCACTCAGCTGTTCACTGCTGTGGCAGGACCTGGGCTGTCCCTGCAGTTAGCGTGTGGACTATTCCACATCTTGAAGTTAGCCAGTCACAGAAGGACGTGCGTTCCTCCCTGTGAAAACCCTGCGTGGTGTTCCATAGCGCACATTTCCCATGAGCATTTGGAAGGCTTTTTTGTGATTAAAACAAGAGTGGCGTGGCTTCTGCCCGGGGCTATGCACTCCCCCACCACCACCCACAGTCAAGGGCACCAGACACCCCCCCCATCCTCTGTGGCCTGTTTTCTGCAGCGTGCGGGGGTCCCGGGCACCAGCTTGCCCCTGGTGTCCATGGCGACACCATGGCTGGCTGCCCCTGCCCCGTTCTGAGTCACTCAGCCAGCTAACCTGACTTCTCACCCAGGTACACACGTCCACCAAATTAAACAGCCTTCACACCAGGCCCTGACCCCTGCAGAGAGGCCTGTTGGTTTCCATTTCTAGACAAAAAAAAAAAAAGTAAGTGGCATCGGTCACACTACCCTGCCCTCTCCCATACCTGATCCCACGGGAGGGACCTTTGTAGATGTGGCACCTCCCCTCCCCAGGGGGAGGGCACGGCTCCTGCGTACTGGCCCCACCCACCTCCTATTCAAGGCTAAGGTCAACGCAAAAGCCTGGGTCCGGTCTCGGGTGTCCAGTGAATAGGTTGGTTTGTGCGTGGTGGCTGGAAGACAGAGTCTTGCAGCTCAGTGTTCCATCTTACTTTGGGGAAGAGTTTGACAGAGGGGACATCCTGCTGACAGCTGTACAGCTCCCATGGAACCACGACAGACTTCACATTTTCTGCATAGATTAATTTATTTGAAAGGCAGAATGACAGAGGGAAGTGGTGGGAGGGGGAAGGAGGAAGAGGAGGGGAGGGGAGGAAGTGGGGAGAGGAGGAATCTTCCATCTGCTGGCTCACTTCCCGGTGGCTGTAACTGCCAAGGCTGGGCCACGCTGAGGTCAAGATCCAGGAACTCCATCCACGTCTCCCGGGCAGGCAGCAGGGATCCAAATACTTGGGCCATCACCTGCTGCCTCCCAGGTTCACGAACAGGAAGCTGGATCAGGAGCAGAGTGGCTGTGAACCAAACCAACTCTCTGATATGGGTTGCTAGAACCACACGTGGTGGCTTAATCCACTGCACTGCAACCCCGTGCTGATAGACTTTAAATTGGAATCTGATTCTGTCCCTGTCTGAGCCCTACCTGATTGCTCTCCCCCTGAAGAGGGAACATTAGGGTGAACCCTGGAGGAGTCTGGACGGGGTGGCCCTGATCTGCCTTTTCTGTGCCGAGCCAAAGGGCAACACCGATTGTTTCCTGAAATCCCTTCCCCCATGTGATGGGACAGACCCCAGACGTGTGGAGGCGGGGCGGGGGGATTGGAGGTCTTCCTCACCCCCGACTTCCCTCCCCAAGTCAGGGGTGGCTTCTCCTACCTTCGTAACAACACAGCCAGGTATCCTTCGCTGGACACTTACTGGGTCCCACACAAAGCCGCAGGTGCTCTACATACTCACCACGACCCCCGTCACAGGGCGGAGAACTGCGTGGCAGAGGTCAGCCCGCGCCTGTGGACGGCGGCTTGGAGGCTGCTACAGGTCTGTCTCCCTCCAGGTGGTGATGGTAAACCCAGTAGGAGGACAAGGGGTGTCCCGTGGGAGCCCAGCTCTCCTCACTGCCACCGTGGGAGCAGCTCCTGTCGGGTCAGAGGCCCAGGCCAGGGGACACGGTACCCATGTTCTCAAGTCCCCATCGCCCCAAGTGAAGGTGTTTGCACTCCACACACCTCTGCCCTCTGAACCCCGAGCCATCTGTAACTTGACTTCATTGTAATTAGGCTTCCAGCATGTAATTACAAGATTAATGGATTAATTATAATTTATTTGCAAATCATTAAAAGAATGGCTCGAGAACATTTTCCCTAAAGATTGTTTCGGGTTGCCCAGGGCAAGCTAATTCAAGGGAGAGAAGAAGAAAAAAAAAATGAAAAATATACAACTGCCAATCTAATGAAAAATTAGAGATAATCAGACAAACCCACAAGTTCACTGAGCTCACTCTGCAGCCTGGGGTGTCAAAAACCTGGGGCCTGCTTCCTGGGGCTGAATTGGAGTTCCAGGCGCCACAGGAATGACCATGGCCATGAATTCCTCCTCTGATTGCTTTCCCGTCTCTTTTCCGGGTAGCCTCCATTTGATGGCGAGGACGAAGACGAGCTGTTTCAGTCCATCATGGAGCACAACGTTTCCTACCCCAAATCCTTGTCCAAGGAGGCCGTCTCCATCTGCAAGGGGGTAAGTGGTGTGGGCTTGCTCTCGTGAGCACGGAGGCGCCCCTCCCAACACCTGTAAGAGCGACAGTGGAAATACTGCAGTCCCACCCCACAGCCTTGCGCCATGGTAGGATCAAGCCTGGGTGTGTGGTGGGGAGAGCGCGGGACTTCCCGGGATTCCCAGGACTCTGGCCTGGTCACCTCCTTGTTCCACTCCCTTGTTTCCACTCCATTTCAGAAAATCGTGGCGGGGATGCCCAGAGGCAATCGTGGGCCCTGGAAGGTGTTGGTTCTGTTCTCTTGGCTCAGTGGGTGGGCCTTGGGCACTCCTCTCTGGTTTCTGTGTTTGAAATGCAACATCCCAGTTGTTGGTGGGCAGATTAGCAAAGTCTCACAAGCAGATGCACCCTGTCCCAGCTACCAGTGCCCCACCCTCGGAACCAGCGGTACCCGCTTCTGCGGGCATGGTGGGTCTTGCCTGTTCCGAGCCTTGCACACGTGGGGCCCAGCTTCATTCACTCAACCTAGTGAGTGTAGACGCGGCCACACCACCGTGTGCGGGTGTAGCTCCACCTCTCATGTAGCCCTCTTGTGCTCCATCCTGTGAACACATCACAGTTCATTTACCTGCTCCATAGTGGGTGGCTGGTGGAGTTGTCCACACTGCCTGCTCCACAACAGGTGGCTGGTGTGGTTGTCTACACTGCCTGATCCACAGCAAGTGGCCGGTGCGGTTGTCTACACTGATCCACAGTGGGTGGCTGGTGGGGTTGTCCACACTGCCTGCTCCACAACAGGTGGCTGGTGGGGTTGTCCACACTGCCTGTTCCATAGAGGGCGGCTGGTACGGTTGTCCACACTGCCTGCTCCCCAGCAGGTGGCTGGTGTGATCGTCTACACTGCCTGCTCCCCAGCGGGTGGCTGGTGCGGTTGTCTACACTGCCTGCTCCCCAGCGGGTGGCTGGCGGGGTTGTCCACACTGCCTGCTCCCCAGCTGGTGGCTGGTGGGGTTGTCCACACTGCCTGCTCCCCAGCAGGTGGCGGTGGAGTTGTCTACACTGCCTGCTCCGCAGCGGGTAGCTGGTATGATCGTCTACACTGCTTGTTCCCCAGCGGGTGGCTGGTGTGATTGTCTACACTGCTTGCTCCCCAGCAAGTGGCTGGCGGGGTTGTCCACACTGCCTGCTCCACAGCAGGTGGCTGGTGGAGTTGTCTACACTGCCTGCTCCACAGCGGGTGGCTGGTACAGTTTCTACGTGTTGGTTTGAGACTACGAGTACCGCTGCCATGAGCCTCCGGGGCCGTGTGTCTTGGCAAACACGGGAGCACAGTCCTGTGCAGGCAGTGCCTGGGAATGGAATTGCTGGGTGACTGGCTGGTTTTTCATGGTCAAGTGTCAGCTGGTTCATCTGGGCACCTGGGCGGTGTCTCTCATGGACTTTTCAAGGGCAGGGCACTTAGAGGAGATGCAAGGCCAGGCATCCTGGCTCCTGAGTGGCTCCTGCCTGCAGAGAGTGACCGGGCAGTGCTGGCCGCCATGTCCTGCCGGAGACATGGCCGGTGACCCAAGTCTCCATCCTCGGTGCAGCCTCTGCCTTCTAACCCATGAGTCTGACCGACACCATCACAGTGCCGCAGTAGGAGGGCTTGGATGCTGCGCCCCTCAGGGCAGCAGTGCTGCACACAGAAAAAGTCCCTGTTTAAGTCGTTCTCGCTCCGTCTGGCTCGTCCTGGTTGCATTCGTCCACACTGCTGCTCTTTGCCCTTAGGGTGAAAAGTCCTGTTCTCTTCCTGTTTTGTGAGTGGGCGTCATTCCCCATGAGCCCCTGAGTCTCTGGGGTAGCGCCCTGAGACGCTGTCCCAGCATCCCCATGGCCAGGGCTGCAGGAAGCGGCACAGGGGGAAGGCGCAGTCGCCCAGATACCACGGTCACCCAATGCTCTCTTTGCCTCCCTCTGCCCGTAGCTGATGACCAAACACCCGGCCAAGCGGCTGGGCTGCGGGCCCGAGGGAGAGCGGGACGTGAGGGAACACGCCTTCTTCCGGAGGATCGACTGGGAGAAACTGGAGAACAGGGAGATCCAGCCGCCGTTCAAGCCCAAAGTGGTGAGTGCACAAAGCAGCCTCTCTCCCGAGCCCCCTCTCTCCTCCCTCTGGGGGTGCCCCAGCCGCCCTCTGTCTCGGGGAGAGGAGGCCCCGTGACCCTGGCCTCTGCAGGGGACGGAGAACGGCCGAGCAGCCGCCTCGTGCTCAGCCCTGGGCCCTGTGGAGGGTGCCAGTGGGAGAGGTCCCCCTGCAGAGAGGGAGTGGGGCGGGGCTGCTTTGGGGGCGGGACTTCCTGGACCACAGCCAGCAGAGCTGTGCTCGCCGCCCTGAGTCCTGGGCGGGACCCCTGAGTCCTGGGCAGGACGCGGGCCTTGCACCTGTGCCCAGCTCCCCGGCTCCGCCTGACACCCAAGAACGGTTTCTGGCAGCTCCCTGGTGGGGCCCGGGTGCAGCTCACACGCCGGCCACTGCTGCTTCGGACATGGACGCCTTTCTTCAGACTCCCTCTGTGGGGTCCCCGTGGTCTTCATTTATTTAACAAACACTAGGAGGCGGGCACTGTTCTCAGATCTTCATGAATATTAAGTGATTGACACCTCCCAACACCCCTGTCCAAGGGATGCTGTTGTCCGTGGTTTAACGTTGAGAAACCTAGGCACAGAGAGGCTGAGTAGCTTTCTGGAAGACACACAGCTGGCAGGTCGGGGGAGAGGAGCCAGGACGGAGTCTGTGTCTTCATCCCCTGCACCAGTGCTCCAGTGAGGGCCTGGTGGCTGGCACTCGTTGGTGACAGCCAGTGTGTGCCTTTCCTGATGTTTATAAAAGGATACATCAAACAGCTCATGGGAGTCCATAGTATGAAAAAACCATGCATGGATTCCAAAATTTTTTGCACCAAAGTTAAAACATTTTTGCAGCCCACTCTGCTGTGAGCTTTCTGAGGCGCTCCCGGGTTTCTGTGGCTAAACCGGGCGTCCTGAGGCTGTCGGCCTCCTCGCTCACGCCGCCTGCCATTGGCGGTGTCCCGAGTTCTGCTTTTCACCACACGCAGATCCAAGGGCCGGGCAGCCACCCACAGCGCCTCCCCGCCAAGACCACACAGAGAGCTCTCTGCTCCTCTGTCAGCTCCAGGACCGTCCACCGTGTTGGGTCGGCCCAGATCTGTCTGCTGTGATGGGTGCCCATTAGCCGGCGCAGGGGGCGCCACGCTCGGTTCTATTCTTAGAGCAGCAGCACCACGTCCACAGCCCCTGCGAGTCCCCTCCTCCCAGAATAGGCTGCGGCGGGCGAGCCCCCTCGACTTTGTTTCTCTCGGATATTCTTAGCGCAGACTAAGGGAAACTAAAATTAATCAGGTCAGTCAACTTCCTCCCGAGTCGTCGTTTCCAACAGGGCCTCCCACGTCTGCCCTGGACGCGGATTCCTGGAGGGCCTCCGGGCGCCTGCCCCTCCGCGTACAAAATCGGCCAGGCAGTGGCCGGGATGATGACGGACACGGGACACGCCTCGGGAGAAAACCCTGCGAGGGCGTCTCTTCTCTCCCCTTTCTTACTTACTTGCCTTCTCGATTTAAAACGGGAAAAGGATCAAGAGCGTCTCAAACCCAGCTGAGAGTGGACACGCCCACGCTCAGCTTGCCTTAGGGAGCGAGGCAGAGGGTGTCCCAGCGGCTTTCCCAAGGGCCACGCGCGCTGCAGAGCTGACCTCGCGTGGCACGGTTAGCGCCGACTCCCGCTTCCGTGGCTCTCGGGCCCTAAGCTCACCAGTGGCTTCAAACCAGAGGGCGATGTGGCCCCTGGGGGCTGCGGATGTCACTGGCAGCAGAGTGGCGTCCATGGCAGGCCGCCAGGCTGTGGACAGTGTGTGTTTATGTTTTACTCCTGGAGCGCTGCTGTCATCAGTTCACTGGATCTCCTTAACTGAGAGCTGGACCCAAAGGAGGTGGACGTGGCCTCTGGCTGTGGAGGACCAGTCCCTGAACTCACCGACTGAGTGGAGAGCAAGCAAAAGGTGCCTGTGAAAGGCCATGGCCGTGACCGGGAGAGCTGTGACCAGTAGGAAGCGAGAGGCCCCGACTGCTTGCAGCACCGAGCCCACGGCCTGCTGCAGAGCCCGAGCCCAAAGGTGCTAGCAAGGACGCAGATGGACAGGGGACAGGACAGCAAGGGGAGCGCAAGGGGCACTGGGGGTCAGCAGCTGTTGGCGAGAGGCCTGAGGGCAGAGAGATGAGCAGGGACAATTCAGGCTCCCAAGAGTGCAGCAAAAGAGCCGCTGCAGGGCTCGCTTTCCCCACGTGCAGAGGCCGGGCCACCCGTCGGCCGAGGGCACCCAGCACGTTGGTCTGTCAGCCCCTGCCAGGCTTGAGTGGAGACTCCACGCCATGCGCTGTTGTGCAGCCAACGGGACGTTCCCACGAGAAGAAGACAACCGAGGCTGGGCCTGCAGGGGCCACAGGGGAGCCGGAGAGGAATCCCGGTTCTCCCGTGACGCGGGTCCCCACGCGGAGCTAACTGAAAAGGTGCCGGGGGTCTGCAGGTGAAACCCGGAGCCGAGCTCTGTGCAGCAGGTGCAGGGCACAGGCAGTCAGCCAAGGGCGCTGCCTCCCGCGGAGCAGAGCCGAGTGCCAGCCCTGGCTGACGGGCCTTGTTGTCTCGGCAGCTTGCCGGGTACGTTTTCTTCAGCCACTGCCAATGACTCAGTTTCTCTGAGATGTATCCGACTGGGGGCCGGAAGCCATTCCCACACACAGCACAGCTCCCGGCTCCCGCGGAGCAAAGCCCTTGCCAAGGATAAAAGACCCACAGTGGGGAGTCCGGGCCTCACCGTCGTCTGCTGGGTGCTTCGGAGACCAAGGTTATGCTGGTGGAACCAGGGTCGGTCCTCTTCATCTTATCTTCGTTTTCTTGTTTTGATGCTCCAATGAGAAATTATTCCAGTATCAGCGACCCTCAGGAGGGTTGAGGCATTCCACGGCCGGACATCACAGAGCTTGCTGTAGCAGCTGGGGTTTTCATCAGATGTCCGATTCTGCAATGCCACTAATGAAGCGAACCTTCAGACCAAAGGGCGTGCAAAACGTATCTCCCAAGCAAGGGACATTTCACATCACCATGCTCCATCCGGGCTCCGCACAGCACTGCCGGCTCACGGCCACTTCCAGGTCAGGCTCTGCGTGAGGTCACACGTGGAGGAGAGCGACCGGGGGCTGGTGTGCGGGACTCTGGCTGTTGCCCCTTGATGGGCTGTGAGTCTGGAGACCCAGGGTGAGGGGAGAGCATATCCCGTAGCGGCCAGCAGTGGGAGAGTCCAGCCCTGGAGGGAGCTGTGTCTGTCCCCAGCAGGCCACCGTGCACCACGGTAGAGAGGCAGCTAATTTTCTAGAACGTGAAACAAGGGCTTGGCAGGATAGAGCCTTTCGTGTGCTGGTTTATTTCATGGAACAGAAGCAGCCACAGCTGGGCTGTGCCCTCCCGGAGATGATAAGGCAGCCACGTGCCTGTCACCTCCTCCCTGAGGGAAAAGGCCCCCGGCACTCTGGTCTTGCTGATCCCCACAAGCCCGCCCAGGAAGCCAGCGGCGAGGGTCCTCTGCCCCACAGGCCCGGGGATGGCCAGCTTGGCAGTCACCTGGCGTTCTCGGCAGCAAACCCCAATCCCCAAGGAGGCCCACCAGTGTCAGAGGATTCCACGTGCAGCGGCACTTTGAGTTTTGCCAGCTCTCACCTTGATTCCTTACATGAATAAAATGACCAAGACCACTCTGCAAATTTCTGCTCACCCTGCTGGCCACAGGGAGCCATGGCTACAGATACGGGAAGCATAAAGCCACTTGATTTTTCTCTTTCTGAATTCTACCCATCAGTACCAATGAACAGAACAACTGGTGCACAGGCAAGCCAGAACCGTGCTCTGTCCTTAAATGGCTATTAGAGGGAAATTAATCTATGCTGCTAACACCAAGAAATTATTCCTGAGCCGAAAGGTAGGCAACACGCTTTGAAAGTGGTCTTTCTTGGGAAATTACTGTGGTTATTTTGTCAGAAAGAGACTGGGAAAAAATAGAACACGTGCGGTCAGGACGTCGCCACCCTTGCAGCATGAGCTGGAGAGAGGGGGAGCGGTGAGGACGAGCGCGGGTGTCTGCGGGGAGAACGCAGAGCGAGGGCTCCCAGCTGAAGTCACCACAGAGCCCTTTATTTCAGGCCCGATGGCTTGCTTCGAGAGCTGGAGACGGCTTAACTATCAAAGCTGGTGTAGTTGAGTAGGGTTTTTTATTTTATTTTGAAATAATTTCTAGTTTGAGACTTGCCGATGAGTTGGGGAAATGGCATCAAGCATTCCCGCCTCCCCGAGTGTTAACACATGACTGTTGGCTTTGTTCTCTGTTTGCCCTCGGCACCCGAGTGTGTAGACGCGCACGCGGTCTGTTTTTCCCCAACCGTCTGAGAGTGAGTTGCAGATGGAACGCCTCTTTACACTGAGTCATTCTGTGTGTCCCCTGCAAGTGAGGACGGCTCCTGGGACTCTGCTCCTCTCGGAGTTGCTCTGAACGGTTATTTCTATAGATTAGCAGCCGTCTGGGTACAGTGTGGGTCCTGGGGCGACTGGCTGATGCTGTACCCTAGGCTGTGTCTCATCAGTTACCTGCCATAGTGGAGTGGCTTCCCGCAGAGCCAGTAACGGTGACACTGACTAAAATGGCGATTATCGAGACTTGAGAAGCTCTGCCGGCCGCATGGAAACCCGGCCGGCCCCTGGAGACTAGAATGTGTCGTATCTGCACACATTTAGGTGTGGTTTAAGCCTTTCAGCCAGTCCAAGAGAGCGCCAAGCCGCTTTCCTACTCTTGGATAATTGCCGTCTCCAATATTTGTCCGCTTGGAAGAGAAGATGGAAGACTTGAGAGGTTTGATAACCAAGCCGAGTGCGCAGCGCTGGGGGGAGCCGCAGGAGCTCAGCGGTGCGTGCCGCCGTAGACACACGCTCCGAGTGCCTCGGGGCTGAGCACACAAGCGCCCGCTGTCTCGAGTCAAGGTCCCTGACAGGGAAGGCCATTACACCCCATTCTGGGAAAAGCAGCCGGAAGTTCCCTATGCTGGCCATGAATAGAAAGAAATAGCAGGTGCAGTGCATGGTTAGAGTATCCAGAACCTTTGCTCTCATCCGCACGTGGCTCTCTCTCGTTCCGCGGGTGGCTGATGGCCCACATCAGTCAGCAGTGTCCCCCGAATCATAGTCTCCCTCCAGCAAACCTGCTCTTCTGAGACGGCTCCAAGGCTGAGACTGCCAGTGCTGGGTAATTTTGCCCAGGAAGCCAGTGCCCATCTCCAGTCCCTCACCACAGGCGATGTTAGCAGAAGGTGAGGGAGGCCCCATCCCTCTTGCTCAAGACTGGGATTAAGTCCCTGGGAGGGGAAATAGCAGCCGAGCAGCAGGGAAGGCTGTCAAAGGAAAGGTGCTGTGTCTGCCATACCAGCTTCCGGTGCCACCGCTCCTCGTCTTCTCTGTAACCCTCCGGAAAGTCACGCACACGTGTGAACACACACACAGCACGGCTGTCCCGTGTCCCGCACCGTGTGTCGCTCACGTGCTGCTGTGTCTGGGAGGTTTCCCCGCCTCAGCCCGCAGGGGCGTGTGGCGTTCTGTCCATGGCCACTCCTGACCCAAGGCCAGGAACTGACTGTTCTCCAAACCCTCCCCTCTGTGTCCCTTCTCACTCTCCAGACTGTCTGTACCAAAACGCACTGGCTTCAGTGGGCATCCAGGCCTTCGGTGAGCACATTTCCAGAACCTTGGGTGACTAAACGAGCAAACTAACCCCATTTCTAACTCCTAACGGCGTGCCCCTGCTTGTGTGGGTTCTGCACGGAGGTCCCCCCTGCCTGGCATGCCAAGCTCCAGAGGCAGAGCAGGCCAGCGTGGGCACTGCCACCCAGGGAGCCCAGCGCAGCTGGCCATGGACACAAGTGGAGACAGTGACAATGCCATCCGTGGGGCCGCAGCAAGAGCTGCGGTCACCCCCAGCCCTGGGGTTTGAAATGCGCCTGAGACACAGCACGGCCTGCTGCACCTGCCAAGCGCAGGAGACGCCCTCACCTGTGTGCGTTTCCTTTTTCCACGCTTCTGCACCACCTCGTACTCTGCTTGTCCTGAGCTCTTCCTGCTCTTTGGGGCTGGTTCGGTTTGGCTTCTTAGTGGCTGGCGTTTTGAGCTAGTCCACGTTCCTGTGCCAGTGACCTGGGTCACGTGCTGTGTGACAGAGACCCCGAGGCACAGGGCAGGGTCGAGGCCAACGCACATGTATTGCTCATGCCCAGTGGCCTCCCACAGGTGAGACTTAACAGCTGAGAAGCCGACCTCTGCGTCCCCCAGTCACCTGTGCCCTGCCAGGGGATGCATGGGCTTGGGAGTGGGCCATTTGCCGCTCGGGGCGTGGTTGGGAAGCTCTGTGGTCCCGGATCCCACCAGGCCTTTGTAACGTCTTCACTATGCCAGACTCCGCCCAGCTTCACTTTATTAATGGATGATTTTACTGAATGGATGGGAATGTGAAAAACAGCAAAAGAGTCCGTCCCAGGCCCCAGAACCGTGGAACAGGGAAGGAGATCATTCATAGTGCGCACCCACCTGCAGATACACATCATGCGCCTTGTGCGTGCTGGATACATGCCGCGTGCCTCGCTATTGAGAAAGGCTCTCATGTGCGCGCGCTCGTGCACACACACACACACGTCCCCTCCGCCCGCACGGCACCTTGGAAGGCAGGTGCTCAGGTCCCGGTGTTTTGCCCAAAGCTGGGCCCTGGGGGTTGGGTCTCTGGCCCTTCACCTCAGAGTGCTTTCCCTCGAGTCCACGCTGTCAGTGAGCACGAGACAGCTTCAGGCAGGACCAGAGGGACTGAACTGGGCTCAGGCGCCTGCACCGTGCAGAGAGGCCGCCTCCCGCTGCTCTCGCCTTTCCTTTCTGTCCCGCCTCCTTTGCGTGGTGGATCTCGTTCTACATGGAAAGCCCAGTTGGCGAAGAGTGTGGGCGGCCAGCCCCAGGGGTCACTCTCAGCTGCTGTGTGTGGGTGGCTGGGAGCTCTGCGGCCAGGGCAGCCCCAATCTGCCCCTTGCCATGGACTACCAGGAGCCTACCCTTCCTGTGGAAATGACCTTCCTGCTCTTCCCTGAGGCGGGGGGGTGGGGACACCTGCAGGCTGGCCACCTCCACTTGCTCATTCATTCATGCACCGGCGCCGTGGGGTACCCCCTTAACCCTTGCATCTCTGTGCCTCTTCTCTCAACTCAGATCCAAGATCTTGCTGGAGGCCCATTGCCCATCCAGCTGATGGTATGAGTGAGGTGGGGTCACAAAAATCTCTTCCATGTTAGGAGGCGGTAGCATGTCCCACCTGCTGCGTGTCTTTTCCCCGAGGATCCAAAGAGGTGGCGGGGCTGGGGGTATCGCTGTGAGGATGGTTGTAGGTGTTCACGTGAACAAGGGGCTGACCAGCTTCTCCAGTCTGACTTAGGGGAAACTGTCTCTAGACCTAATGGGGCTAAGAGAAGGCTCATTTTTAAAACATCGAGAGGCCCTCTGGAGCCGAAACATAAGCGCTACTTCTCACAGCGCCAGAGGCGCGTGTCTGTCCCGCACCTTGGCGCAAAGAAGGAATCGTCATCCTCGTACGGGCTCCCTTTTGAGTCTTGGGTCTCACGTGCACCTCCAGCTTGCTCCCCCATTGCTTGCGACGATCCACCCACCCGCAGCCCCCTTTCGGCCCACGGTCCGTGTGTCTGAACTTCAGTGGTTCAGTCTTGAAGCTCTGCCCTAGGCCCAAGCCTGCCCCCTTGGCCTCTCCACCTAAAGTAAAGCAGTTTAGGAATAGCTTTCCTTTGCTGAAATGTCATCTCTCTTTGAGAACAGGGGAAATCCCAGAGATTTGGAGGAGTCTGCGGTGGTGAGCACTTGAGGCCCACAGGGCCACTGTCTCGCTGTGATCACACGACCGTGACCTTGGCCCCAGGATCTCCCGCTCCCTCTGCCCACAGTCAGCAGCAGTCAGAGCCTGAGGCTGTGGCCAGGGGCACGTTCTGCCCTGTCCAGAGGACACTAAAGGCTTCAGGGCATCCTCAGGTCTCCATTCCCATCCTCCGCGGTGGTGGTCACGTGGTCCTCTTTTTCCATCTTGGGCACTTGCCTTTTCATTTCGGAAACTTCCCATAGCAAGGTGATTTGTGGGCATCATAAAGGCAGTCTGCAAAGGAAAGGCCTGGGCCCCGTGCGTGTTTTCCCAGAACAAATCGATAAACCCGGAGCTAGACAGGCAGCCGTCCAGCCGGCCCGGGAGAGGGAGGAGTGTGCTCAGCTCGCCGTGCTCTTCCTTCCGGGGACTTGCAGTCTTGCCTTGTTGGTCTCCCCGCTACCCCGACTGGCTCAGCCTTTGCGAGGTTCCCAAGTGGCAGGAGAGGGACAGAGGACCTCAGTCGGGGGCACCGACAGAACACACACTCTAGTCCCTCCGGGCAATGGGCTGGATTCATCAGGTTTCCAAAGGGTGCTCCCCTCAAAGCCAGCTCCCCCAGCTGTCCCCCTCGCTCACGCTGCTTCCCCTGGCCGCCTGCACTCGCAGGGGACCATCCCTGCCTAAGGTCCCATTGGCCTCACGCCGTGCTCAGGGCCCACTCGGCCTCACCCATAGCCTGGCCACGCTCAGGGTTCTCGGTGGCAGCACCCTCCAGGCTCTGAGCCACTAACACAGTGGGAGGTGTGTGTGGTGTGTGTATGGTGTGGTATGTGTGGGCGGTGGGTGTGCGGTGGGTGGAGCGTGTATATGATGCATGTGTGCTGTGGGTGTGGGTGTGTGTGTGGTGTGTGTGTGTTCACACCTTGCAGGCTGCTTGGCAGCATCCCTGGCCTTTATCTAATGGATGCCAGTAACAGCACCTGCCTAAGTCACGACAGTCCGATATGGGCTTCCCATGGGACAGAACCGTCCCTAGTTGAGAGCCACTAGTGCCTCCAGAGGGGGACAGTTTCCTTAGTTGTTAGGGTCGTCACTGTGGCATCTAAACGTGGCACCTCTGTGGACACTGGTTCCATCTAACTGATGAATCGTGGACCAGCCCCTGATTACAGCCCCTCCCCATTCTTTCCCCAAGAGCCGCTTCCCTGCTTCCCACGGCCTGCAGGTGGGTGCCCCACCCCTGCTTCCCGCGGCCTGCGTGTGGGTGCCCCGCCCCAGCTGACTTAGGCGTCCAAGCGCTTTGTGCTCTTCCGAGGGACAGCCGCCTGGGAGCCATGTGGAGAGAGGGTGGAAGCATTGCTGTGCCACCTGCATGATGCACGGGCAGGCCTCATGGTCACCAAAGGGTCACCTGGAGGTCCCCAAAGAACCCCATCCCCCTCATCCCACCACACACCCACACCAGTCCCTGTGGTGGGAATCTATTGGGTGCAGAGTGGATGGTTGCTTATTAAGATGAAAACATCCCCAGAAAGAAAAGCTGTCGGTCAGGAAGACCTTTGAAGCTACAGTTTCCACCTCGGCAAGTCCTTAGGCGGAAGCTTTGATGAAAAATGGTGGGCGAAGTACAGTGCAAGTGGCTTCTCACGAAAACCTTCTAGAAGGTAGAGAAGGCGGGAGAGGACGGCCCTGCCGACTAAGCTGGCCTTAGGAAAACTCAGCATTCCGAGGGCGCTTCGTGGAGAAATGGAATATAATAGACAAGTTTATCTTGGTGCAAAGAATACTTTGTGCGGTTTGTTCAGAATTTGTGTTTTTCATGAACTTTTTTGAAGACCTAAAATGCATGTATTTCCAAAAAAAAATTGTACCAAAACAATCTTTTCATTTCATTTTCTGCAAGCTTTTGGAGGCCCCCTCCTGCAGGTGGAACTCTCACCACCTGCTAGGTCCAATGCAAAACTCTTAGGCTTGGTAGGCAGGACTATGCCCACTTTACAGATGAGGAAAGTGGAGGCAGGTAACCTCGAGCTGCCCTCTGTTAAAGACAGCTTAAAAACAGGAATGCCTGGTTCATATAACACCTTTGCTAACTCAGCATTAACCCACGTTGCCACGGTACTTACTCTCAGTAGGGTCAAGGGCATCTTTTGCAGCATGTTGGGAGTCATGGGTAGGGCCACCTGGGATCCCAGAGACCCTGCCACCACCACCACCACCACCACACCCCCTCCATGTGGCTGGAAGAGTAAGGAGGAGGCAGCACCCCCACCCCACCCCCTTTGAGTCTGACTCCGAGCCACGCTGCTTAGTCGACTTTGCAGAGACAGCAGCTCGGCCCCGCCTCCCCAGGCCATAGGGCCAACCTCCTCCAGCCCAGGGACCGCCCTGCAAACGCCCTGCTGTTCTGCCCACCAGCCGCCGGGCTGCTGCATGTGGACATGCGGCTGCCAGCCAGGCCCCGGTGCACGTCGCCCAGCCCTGCCACCACGCCGCCGCCGCCGGGAGATTCTAGAACGTCCTAGTGGGAAGGCAGCAATGCTGCAGCTTTTACCTTGGTTGCGTCATTGCGCAGAGCCGGCTGTGGGGCGGTCACCTCACCCTCCCAGTTCAGGGGTCTTAGCCAACATCCTGGCCTTTTCAACATGGAGGGAGCCCTGACCGAGGGCCCCGGCTGCGCGTGGCGCTTGCGCTCGTGGCTCTGCTTGCTTGGTGACTGGGGCCGGGAGGGGAGGCCGTGTCCTTGTTGCTACCTTGTCGCCCACCAGGGTTTCCCTTCCCAGGATCTGTCTCCGTGGTCGGTGGCTGGGCCTGGCTCCCGGCCCCAGCAGCCCTGCAGGCCCTCCAGGAGTCTTCCCGCCTCCCTAGCCCTGCCCCCCACCCCAGGGCCGCCTGTGACATCACTGACTGTGTCTCGATTTCCTCTCTGCAGTGTGGCAAAGGAGCAGAAAACTTCGACAAGTTCTTCACGCGAGGGCAGCCCGTGCTCACGCCGCCGGATCAACTGGTCATCGCTAACATAGACCAGTCTGATTTCGAAGGGTTCTCGTATGTCAACCCCCAGTTCGTGCACCCCATCCTACAGAGCTCAGTATGAAAGTCGCCGGCGAGACCCAGCGTGCCCACCCCTCCAGCCCCCAGCACCCCTAGCGGCGGGAAGTGATCCTTAACCCTAAAATTTTAAGGCCACGGCCTTATGTTTTTGCTCCACATGGAGGCCTGAAAATTGTAGGGTTATAGTCCCAAGGCGACCAGCTATCCAGGGTCTCTCTCTTAAAACCAAGAACATTATGTTAGTGGATACGCAAATCGTGAACAGCGGCCGGTTTGATCATGTGGGAGTCGCACCTGGCTGTAGGCCAACCCCTCCTAGGTAGAAAGCAGGCCCTCGCCCCTCTTTTTTTTTTTTTTTTTTTTGGTACGATTTGGTATACTTCCCATATCCCGTGTCTGGCTGGATTCTCTCCATGAGGCTCCGCCCAAGCAGAGATGCGAAAGTGAACCTGCCCCAGCCTGGTGGGCCGGAAGCACCTCCAACCAGGAGGTAAAGGAATGGGGAGCCCGGAGAGGGGCGGGGGAGGTCTGCGAGCTGCCGACCACGGTCTGTGCCTCGGTGGAAACGACCGACCCCCTGGGTGTGAGAGGCCGGGACAAGACTACTTACTATTCCCCGACATCGACACGGCGTCACCAACTCTAGCCCAGCTTCCAAAACAAAAAAAATCTCTGATGAGCCTTGGGCGACGATCTGTCCTCTGGTCCCCTGCTTGGTTGATAACTGTCTTGACACTTGCATTTGTTTTTGTTGTTTTTTTCCCCAAGAGGCCAAACCATCAAGGACTTTGCTAAGTGAGCTTTTGTGGAATCATTTCAGATCCAGGACGACGCGGTGTGTGCGCATGTTCCTCTTGATCTCGGGGAGAGTACACCCCGGTCCCGGGTGCCATCAGTAACCATGCCACTAACGCGTGTCAGCCAACCCCTGCCCCACCCCCACCGGTATTTTGCTACCTATGTTGTCACCCTCCCTAAGAATCTGAAGTGTACGCCCCATCCCCTTTTGTACTTATTTATTTATTAAGCTGCAGTGACCTTTAGGAACGTACGATGTTCAATAACTTAACTTGACTCCAGCGTCAGTCCCCACCAATAGACCCTCGTCCCGTTCCGAGGCCCTGACATCCGCTTAGGGATGGACGGCCACCCAGGTCGGGTTCCCATTGAATGACACACCTGGAGCTGTAGAATCAGGACACCGGACGCTTTCTGGGTAGAAGGATTTTAATAATGTTTTGCAGATGCATCATGCAATGAATTTTGCATGTTTATAATAAACCTTAATTACAAGTGAATCTATATTATTGATATAATCGTATCAAGTATAAAGAGAGTATTATAATAATTTTATAAGACATAATTGTGCTATATTTGTGAAGGTTCATGTTTCTAATCAGCTTTTCTGGTTAAGTTTTTAGCTTAATTCTTTGTTGTGGTGCCTCCCCGCCCCTCCCTGCTCCCTGCACATGGGCCCTGTAGCTGACCTGTGAATTTTTGTCACGTAGATCAGACGTGAACGGCTCCTTCCCACGCCCAGTTAGGCTCTCGCTCTGCGTCTATGTGCGTGCTCAATCCTACCTGCAGACAGACGCGGTGTTGGTAGCGATTACCTTAGAGATGAGAAGCTCTGTTCACTTCTTAATGCCACCTTGTGGTCGGGCCCCTCCCACTCTTCCTCTTGGGGGTAGCGGCAAGTCTTGTAGGCCACACGCAGGGGCCATACAGGCACAGGTGGCGATGTCACAGCCCCTGGGCTGAACCCTGCGTGTGTGTGTGTGTGTGCGTGTGCATGTGTGTGTGTGTGTGTGCACATGCATACTACCTTTCAGCCTTGTGGCTGTTGGTGATTCTGCGGTGGGAGGGACCGGGAGACTCCCTCCTTGTTCTGTGTCCCTGGGCACACTGGAAGCTTCCCCAAATGACCTGATGTTTGCTCCAGCATGTGCAAGCTTTGCAAGTGGTGCCCTGTGGGTGCAGGGGTGAGGACATCCGGCCTGGGGCCGTGTAAAGCCCCAGAATCCTCTGGTCTGGCCCTGCCTTGGCAGTGGGATTCAGGACGCACCAAACCCATAGCAGGCTGATTTCCAAGTTGATAATCGCGTAGAGCCCACAAATGATGTTACAGATATCCCAATAGCCCTTGACAGAAAAAGCACCTGTCACCAGGATTGGCCTCTCACAGCTCGGCCCAGACCCTCCCCCAGGGCGAGGGTCTCAGGAGCGCCAACTTCTGTAGCATGAGGAAGAAGTACCAGCGAGCAAGGCAGTCGGTCCCTACTGCCAGCGGCCGTGCGTCCCCCAGCTGTTTGCACCAGCTTCACCTGCAGTGGGAGTGAGACCTAGGCTGTGCGCCTCGGCCCTAGCTCGAGGACCTCTGCAGGCTGCTGCTGGGCCACGCCCTCGCCGGGCACACAGAGCAGGGGCGGGTTTGTAGAAAGTGCCCAGGAGACCAAAGGGCCGGCTCCCCGTGCCGGGTGGCGCAGCAGCCAGGCTGACACCAGCCAGACCCCAAGAGACGAGGAGAGCCCTACCAAAGGGGTGCGTAGGGCTGTGGACCCTTTGCCTGGGGCTCCCTGGCTGCCTGCTCTTTCTGGCTGGGCAGCAGGGTCAGGCCCCCTGCAGACAGCCCACACCCAGCTCCCAATCTGTCACTGATGCTGGGAGATCTCTCCAACCCCTCGGCTGGTGTGCGTCCTCTTAGAGTGCGTGCGAAAGCATTTAAGGGACGGACCCTGGGCGTGGGGCCCAGCACTCTGCCGAAGGGACAGCGGGCTCTAGAGCGACTCAGAAGGGCAGGAAGGAAGAAGCAGGGCCGAGGGAGTGCTGCCGTGGGCTGGGCTGTTTGCACGGTGGAGGCTCTAGGCAGCTGAACAGGTGACTGTAAACAGCTCTCACCCCGCCCCCCACCAAATCGGCCTATGAAAGTCCATACTGTTGTCCCGCATCTGGGGCTGTGTGGAAAGTGACAGGGCAGGACAGGGCTTGCTGGGCCCGCTGCAGCCCCCTCGTGGGAGCCTGGCATAGGAGGCCACCTTGGCTGGGGCATCAAGTTCCCAGGGGACTCTCCACTAAGCCCCGGCTCTTGAGCACTGTGGCGTCGCCTGGGTCTGTCGGGGAGAACCCAGCACAGCCTGATTCTCTGCAGGACCCACAAAATCGCCTCGCGTTAATTAGAGTGGGGTGGGGGCTCCCTCTCTGGCAGGGGCCCATGGGCTGGCCGTGCAGAACCGTCTCCCGAGCTCATCAGCCTTCCTCACTGTGACCTCGGGTAGAAAACCGGGGTGTCGGGCTGGCCCCGCGGCTCACTAGGCTAATCCTCCGCCTGTGGCGCCAGCACACCGGGTTCTAGTCCCGGTCGGGGTGCCGGATTCTGTCCCGGTTGCCCCTCTTCCAGGCCAGCTCTCTGCTGTGGCCAGGGAGTGCAGTGGAGGATGGCCCAAGTGCTTGGGCCCTGCACCCCATGGGAGACCAGGAGAAGCACCTGGCTCCTGCCTTCGGATCAGCACAGTGCGCCGGCCGCAGCGGCCATTGTGGGGTGAACCAACAGAAAGGAAGACCTTTCTCTCTGTCTCTCTCTTTCACTGTCCACTCTGCCTGTCAAAAAAAAAAAAGGCAAAGAAAACTGGGGTGTCCGGTGCTCTTGGGAAGCCCGGCCTGAGATGGTGGAGAGATCAGCAAAGGGCACGGGGGGTTGCAGCCTGGCCTGTGACTGTCACACGCCCCTCTGAGTTCAGGTCCTTAGCAGAGGGGCGAGGCTTGCTGGAAATAGGCCACAGGAGCGCGTCCAGAGAGACAACTGCTGGTGGAGGGGAGGAAGCCGTGGCCCTGTCCCGCGGCTTTGCCGTGGGAGCCCATGGGTGCAGACGGAAGCCACCGAGACTGTTCTTGCCAGACCTGGCCTGCTCCTCCTCCCTCAGCTGCCGGCAACACCCCCACCCACTGCTGGAGCCCCTGTCCCTGCCCGAAGTGGCTCCCAGTTCCCAGGGCGGAGCCAGGCCGGCTGGGAGGGTCCTGGGATTCCCTCCGCAGCCCCCTGCTGAGGACCACAGCAGCTAAGGAGGGGTGGAGAAGTAGCAGAAATGAGCCAGGCTGCCGTTCACCCCTGCCCAGGCTGGGCAGAACAAGCTGGGGGTTGGGGCTAGGGCTGGGCTCTGTTCTCTCCGCCGTGAGAGGGGCGAGTGCGAGCCTTTGGTTTTTAAAAGCCCGAGGCCACACCATCTGACAGTCACTTTCTCACTTGGGTCATCCGAAGTCGCCCACTGATCACACCGTCTCTTGCTTCCATGTAACCCAGCGAGGGCAGGGCCACCTGCTCACCCGCGGAGCAGGAAGCAGAGGCCGGGCCGGGGCTGCAGGGAACGGTGGTGGTGAGAGTTACAGGGACGGCGACAGCCAGGACCCTGATGGGGAGCAGGTGGACACCCCGGCTGGTAGTGACAAGGCGTCTCAGGAAATGTGTTTAAAACGCGTTCCCCTCGAGCCGCTCGGGTTGCTTGTTTGGACACGCGCTGGACAGGCGACATCCCCGGCCCCTTCCCACCTGGGCCCAAGCAGCAAACGGGGGAACACTGTGGTTTCTGTGCCCAGAACACAGGGCAAGGCCACCTGCGCTACAGCGGGTGAAGGGAGCCACCTGGGAGTGGTGGCAGCCGCAGTCCCGTTCCCTCCATATGTCAGGGGCCGCCTGGGAGGGGCAGGAGCCCGCCCAGCCGTGATCCCCGTCCAGGCCATTGTGTGGGCTCCAGTTGACCGTGTAAAGTCCCTCACAGCCATCAGTCAGTCTCATCACAACCCTAAGCCTGAAGCCCACAAATTCCAAAGACTTTTTTTTTAAACCTTAAAGAAGAAATTAATTTGTTAATGCCAAAAGAACAATTGAATATACTGGGCTATTTGTACTTTTTTATGGAGAACTTTAATAACTCGATTCTAATTTTAAAATTGAGTTTTTACAATAAAGCTGAAGTCACCACTGTCAATTTCACAAGATTCCGATTCCCGTGGAGTCTGTAGGCGGACTCCAGCGGGGTCAGCTAGAGCGCCCCCTACCAGGCCTTTCCGAGGCGATGGGGTGTGGAGTAGTGAACACCAGAGACAAGTCTAGAAGCTTTCAGATAACAGCTTTAGGGCCCCCATCCGGACGTAGCCCTAGGGGAGCATTCCCAGGGGTCTGGGGTCCCTTCCGTTGCTCTGGGAGACGTTGTGACTACTTTTGCCAGGAGGAGGGGACGCCTCCTCACTTCTGTCCCCAGTCCCCTGGGGTCCCCAGGTCTCCTGTTGGAAAGGATTCAGAGATGCCCTTTAAGGGAAATCCCTCACTCTCCCAAGACGTAGGAGGCGGGGCGGCCTCACCTGCTGGCGTCAGGGTTTTGTTCACGTGGGAGGAGCCAGAACCCCCGACACCCCCCCCACACTTTGCAGAGAGCAGGTGTCAAGTCTGCCTTTTAAAGGGCAGCTTTGCGGTTTCTGATCAGACAACCGTGTCTGTGTCTCCTCGGCTTGACTAAGGCCTCCGTTCCTGGGGTCGTTGCCAGCTTTGTGTCTGTCCTCTCTGGAAGGTGAGCCCTTGCTTGGGGGCTTAGTGCCCGAGCATCCTACATGAAAGCAACCTCCTGGCTGGAGTCTAAAGTCTCACCTGCTACCCTCTCCCTGTAGGGTCTTTCGGAATATCTTTTATAGATGGTCAGACACATTTGAAATCCTTGCTTTTTGCTACATGATGTGTGTGCGTGTGTGTGTGTGCGCGCGCACGCGTGCGTGTGTGTTTAAATCATTAACTCAGAAGCATCATGTAAGACGCCAAGTCTGCACGGAGGAAGAGACGGAAGGTGAGGGTTGTTTCCTTTCTGTATAAGCACCTGTTGGCAAAACGTTTGGCTAGCGAGCAGGTGAGATGGACATGCTCCCCTCCCATTTGTATAACCTCTGACCTCGTTTGCATGAGCTGCTTTGTTACACCCCCTAATTGTGGTTTGGAAGCCAGTGTGTATGAATAAAGATAATGATCATTCCTCAGCCGCCTCTGCAGCCTTGCGGTGATTTGTCATCAGATGTCCTTCTCCTTTGACCCTGGACACGCTCTGCAGTCCCGGTTCGCACTGTCACCGGTTTCAGGGGTGGTTCTCCAGGGACAGTTGCACCTGGGTTTTCTTAAAAGCCTGCGTCCTTTGACTCAAATCCCCCATGATGACTGGGACAAAGTGTGCTAGGTCATTCCTTCATTCATTCAATCATTCATTCACACCAATCACCTGCCAAGCCCTGCTCTGACCAGGAATTGAGCCCGGCCCCTGGGCACCTGGTAGAGAGGAATGGCAGGTGTTCCCTGCCTACAGGGAGCTTACTGTCCTCGCACCCCAACAGGGGTGGGGGGTGGAGGACCGCAGAGGCAGCCCGCCCGGCCCGGGGGCATTTGCTGCTGCACCCCTGCTCTGAGCCACACTGCATTAGGGTGCAGGGCTGTCCCCACTTGCACGTCAGCAGCCCTCATCCTGAGTTCATTCGTGGGTGATGACAACCACAGTCGTCGGGGAGGGGGAGGCTTAAAGGTGAAACAGGTGGGGAATACTGGGCTGCGAGAGAGAGAATTAGGCCCAGAAGGAATTACAACAGCAGGAAGTCTAAAAGCCAAGCGTCAGCTTTCTCACCTGCTGGGTTTTTTGGTTTTTTTTTTTTTTTTTTTTTTTTTTTTTTGCGGGGGCAGGGGGAGGCGCTTCTCTGCCCTCGTGCTCACAGCTCCCCTCCCACCCACCTGCAGTCACGCAGACCTGGGTCTGTCCTCCCAGCACACTCGGCACCCCACGCATCGCGGCCTTGCTCCCAGACTAGGTAGATCACCCACGTGATAACATCCCCGCGGAGACACTGTGCTCGCACAGAACCCCCGGAGCTCACGGTCTTTGCGATGCAAGGGGCCGGGGAGAGGTATTTTTGCAGAAAAGCCAAGGACCCTGGTAGGGCCCTTGGAGCAGCTTCCAGACTGGCCTGAGTTTCGTTCGTTGGAGGCTGGCTTGTGGCCATTCCTCACCTGCCCAGCAGAATGGCCGCATGAAGAGTGGCCCTCTGTGGCTTCCTGGCATGCCCCTGGCTTCTACCATGCTACTGTTTGGTGACATCTGGTTCTGCTACAATGCAGAACGGAGCACAGGAGTCCTCCTACACCGGGCAGGGTCCTCAGGCGCAGCGGTGGCCCGGGGGCTCTGAACTGACCCATGCAAGTTCACTCCTGTGGGGCAGCCCGAGGGGCACAGCCGGGAGGGACTGCACCTGGTCCTCCGGGGCCCGCAGCCAAGGCTCCTCGCAGTGGACGATGGTCCTTCCAGTGGGATCCTGGGCCACCCTGAGGAGAAGCTGCAAAGCTGGTCCTGCTGTCCGGAGCTGGTCTCACTCTCCCGCAATACCCAGTCCATGCACAGGTGCTGCTGGGCCCGCTCTCAGGCAGGGCTCCCGGCTGGTGCACAGTTAGCCGCCCAGGGTGATTCGATCCCGCGTGCCCATCCTGGGTGCCGCTAGGTCCCAGCACCCAGAGCGCTGTGGAATAAGTGAGTGAAGGAACGCACACAGGCATGGAGCCCCACAACTGCGCTGAGCCTAGCGAGGAGTCGCATCCGCCATGAGCAAGCCCCGGTCCTTGCCCTCGAGGGAGCAAGCAACCCAGGAGCCGAGATGGACCCAAGAAAACTGAAGGCCGTCTCTCAGCAGCCTGCCGTGAGCCGCTGCCTAAACAGCCCTCTGTCTGCAGCCCGGAGTGCAGACTGCCCCGTGCCCCCGCAGCGGCTGCTCAGCGCCGGTCTGTCGTACGCTCTGTCCCCCGTGCTGAGAGCACGCGTGGCAGAGAGCAGGGCACCACCTGTGGGGAGTGCGCTTGCCTCTAAAGGAGGCAGAACAGGAAGTTCCTGGGCTGCTTTTTTTTCTTAAGCTAATTCAATATAAATCACGGCACACAGAGGTCTATTCTAAGCATGAGATGGGAAAGTAGAAAAAACGGGTCCAGGGAATGAAAGAGCCAGCGCTGGGCTCAAGGACTCCAGAGAGGTGGGCCAGCAAGAGCTGGAAGCGTGGGGCCGGTGTCGTGGCCGCACAGGCCTTTTTGGCACCAGCATCCTGTATCAGAGTCCCAGTGACTGCTTCCCACCCAGCTCCCTGCCCAGGTGCCAAGGAAGGCAGCAGGAAATGGCCAAGTGTGTGGGCCCCTGACACCCAGTGGGGAGACCTGGATGGAGTGCTAGGCCCCTGGCTGCAGCCTGGCACAACCCGGACTGTTGCAGCTAGGTGGGGAATGAAGCAGGGGATGAGGATTCCCCTCTCTCTCTCCTCTCTCCTCAACCCCGTCTCCAGAAGTGTGAACCTGAGACGCACGCAGAGTGATGGGTGCGAGTGTGCCAGGTGCCCTGCTAGGTACTGCATAGGCGTGTCTTTACAGCAGACGGTGACTCCCCCGGGAAGGTCCTGTTTGCTGTGCTCGGCTCCCAGAAGAGGTCCTGGGTGGTTAAATAACACCCAGGTGAGCAACCCAACGTGAACCAAGCCAACGAAAAGAAGCAGAGGGGCCTTCCTGGAGGAGGAGGCGGGGAGGGTGTGCAGTCTGAGGGAGGAGAGGCTGGGAAGGGGAGGTCGCAGGCAGCAGAAGCCAGCAGACAGGAGGAGGAGCTGACTCCACCCAGCACGTAATGTGTGATCGGAGCACAGCTCTCTCGTTTAAGTGCACCTCCATGGGACCAAGATCACGGATCACGTCTTACGGAGGGGAAACGGAGGCCCGGGGGCCTTGGCTGGCTTCCCGAGGCACAACTCCCCAGCAGCACGGTGAGGCCGGGCACCAGGTCTCGCTCATCTGCCTGCCCTTGCCCGGCCATGCAGATCGGGGAGGGGGCAGCAGGCGCAGCGCACCCCCAGTAGGCGGTTCCCCTCTGTGGAGCCCATCACAGCCCGTCCACTGCCACAGCCGAGGGTTGATTGCTTCTCTTGGCTGCTCCAGTGCCCTTCTGCCACCGTTTCCAGAGCCTCTCTCCCACCTCCACCTCCTGCTCCGGATTTCTGGTTTTTGCACTATCTGGTGTGGGTGGAGAGAGAAAAATAGCACCGCGGCTTGCAGAGCCCGGCAAGCACCCTGCGGCCGCCCCCTCCTGGCAGACTCGCACCTGCAGGGGCCCACGGGCTGGGAGGCATGGCGCCGGTGAGGGCCCGGGCGCGCCCTCCTGCCACAGGAGGACCACAGCTGCCCATGGCCGCCCACAGTCACCCCGAGGGACAATCCAGCAAGTGTCACCTGCAGCAGGAGGCACCGAGGCACTGAGCCCAGGCTGCTCACCTAGGGCAGGGACCACGCACACACGCACGCCCGCACACACACATGCATACACCCACACATATATACATACACACACATGCACACACACATGCACTTGCACGGGAGACATTGACAAAGCCTGCGAAGTCAGGACCATTCAGAAAGGAGGAGGTTCCACTCCGAGGGAGAATCTCCTGCAGAAATGATCCAAGGGTTCCTCCAAAAGTCCACAGAAAATGAAATGAAAAGATACATTTACATGGGTGGAAAAATAATTTGAAACCACACATGGGTTTTCATAATACAGCTTTTTCATGATTTTTGTAAACACCTCTCATGTGCATGGATTTCAGATTTTTTGCACTGAAATAAACTTAGCTTTTATTTATTTATTTTTAAAGATGTATTTATTTATTTGAAAGGCAGAGTGACAGAGAGAAAGCATGTGCAAGAGACGGATCTTTTATCTACTGGTTCACTCCCCAGATGGCCAGGGCTGGACCAGGCCAAAACCAGGAGTCTGGAACTCCACCCAGGTCTCACACACGGGTGGCAGGGCCCAAGTACTTGGCCGTCTTCCTCTGCCTTCCCAGTGGTTTCAGGCAGTGGCTTTACCCACTACACCACTACACCAGCCCCACAACCAGCATTTTTAAAAAACTCTTTTTCTGTCTTAGCCATTCCACGCTGTGTTCTTTGAAACCATTCTACTCTTTGTGCTTGTATTTCACCCGTGTGTGCACCATTTGCTTAAATGACAGGCAGGCATCACACACTTGGGGGATAAATAAACTGACTCACAAGTCACAGTGGGAGCCAAACTGCATGGAAATATGAGAAAATGAGAATTCGGGGAAAATAAGGTGTGTGTCATACTGTTTAGAAGGGGCTGGGGGTGGGGAGTAAAAGAACATGAGTTGATCCGGTAGGTCATTCCCTGGTATCCGCTAAGGAGAACGCACACCAAGCACAGGTCAGCCCGCAGAATTGTGTGTCAGAGCTGCAGCGCTGCGGTTCGTCCATTTCATCGCCTGCTCCGTTCTGCGTGTTCTGGTATTTAGATGGCTGGTTTTTTTTACTTTCACAAACATTGTGATGAATACCCCCCCCCATCTTTATATCTTCATAGGCTCATTCATTCACTCAAAACTATATTCATTGAGCCCTTCCTAGCTCTGCGGCACTACTGTCCCAGTGTCAGAAAGACAGCAGTAACTCAAACCAACAAAACCCTGCTGCTGGGCACTGCACTCGGTGGCAGCCTCCATTTCCCCGGTGGAAAGCCCTAGAAGCTGGATTCTCGGTCAGTGGCTGGGAGGGTTTTTAGGACTCTTGATTTTAGTGTCAGATGCACTCAGAAACACAGCACGTGGTGAATTCTAATTTCTCATCAGTGAGTCGCTTCCATGTTCATGCACACACAATCCTGCAAGCAGTTAGTGGTTACCGAGTGTCTACAATGTCTAAGGCTCTGTAGCAAATTATTTCTGGGCTTAGCACTGCAAACAGCAAATATTTATGACCTCACAGTCTCTGCACATAAGGGGTTTGGTAGCGGCTCCGCTGCGCGCTCTCGGCTTGGGATGTCTCATGACCCCCTTTATCCTAAATGTGTTTCGCTGAGTCTCCCTGTTGGTTTGTATCGTTTTTCCTTTCTACTTTTGTTTCTTATAAAATCCATGCTTACTGTTTAAATCTTAGAAAATATAGAAAAGTCAAGATAAGT